TTTACTTAGTATAAAAAAAAGTTTTAGATAGAGACGCTGTGCTTTCGCACTCATAGTAAAATTTATATATAAAAAAAAAATTTTTTGTCCAGATGACTGGTGAATCACCTATTAAACTATATATAATAAAAATATTAATAAATACTTACCAAATTTATTGCCATCAAGTTTTTTATTACAGCAAGATCTGAAATTGAAATATTTTTGTTTTTTGGATTGAGTATAGTCTAACAGATAGCTATAGCAAATGCTATTTTTTCTTGTAAAGCTTTGCTATCTGGCCAGATTTTAGACAATTTTCAAGTTATATATATATTACCCAAATTATCTTCCAACTCTTCGAATAATATCTTATAACATGTATTTGTTTTTGATGATTTCTTCTAGATTATAATTTCATTAGGTTTTGCTTTATTATTTATAGGATCAATAAGACTTCCATATATGAAAAATAAAGTATCCTTTATCTTAGTTATTATCAGTCACACGATTTGTCATGCAAATCAGGAGATAATTTTTTTATTATGAAATTTGAGTGATCTACATTTATATAATCTACTCATTTTAATAGTAAATTGCAACGGTAGATGCTTTTCAAATGCTATTTTCAAGGGTTTCCTAAAAGGAAATCGTATTTGTGCGACAAGGTACAGCGATTTAACTTTACAAGCATTTTTCGATTTTCTAAGTTTAAAGTGAGAAAACAGTAAAGTTAAAAAGAATCATGCCCTTAAAGTTGACTTTTCATTTCATTTTTATATATAGTAATTTTAAGTTTTTAACCATTAATAAAACACTAGTTTCATCAAAAGCTTCACGACTCCAAGTATTTCTGGGGCTCGAATCTTGAACACGTCATGGTAAAAGAGAAATTATATGGGAGTTGTTACATCTCTAAAATTCCAAATGCTTTACGCCTGAAGCAAAGATCTGAGATTACGTTGTAGAGATCGCGCAATTAGAGAAGTATAGTTATAAACATATACAGTCAGACCTCTCTAAATGTATACCCTTGGGACCACGCTTTAATAATGTGCATATAGAGAATAGAGGTTAAGTATATATTTGGGCTAGCACTTGAGCGTGCATTTAGAGAGTGCACTTATAGAGAGTGTACTTAGAGAAGTCTGACTGTATACTGTATATATGTAATAAATTTATTTTCAAACATCATGAAACTTTTTATTAATATATTTTCTTTGAATAATTAAGTGCTATGAGCGAATATGCAAATTAAGGGTTTAGATCAAAAAGTTAAAGAAGTCCTTGAGATTATAGCTAAAATTTTAGAAATAAGGTTTTGTGTTAGTAAAGATGCTGGAGATTTTATAGGCTTAAGTTTTAGAGTTAGAATTGTATGCGGATTTTAGCAGGGCTTATCTTGATCTTTTTTTTATTCGATCATTAGTTACTTTTGCAAATTTGTTATATGTATTCAAATGTATATTTAGATTCATTAAAAAATTTACAATAAAATAATTTATTTCAAAAAATCAATAAATTGTTAAAATTTATTATTTCGAAATTTTTGTGAATTAACCTTTTTTGTTCAACTTGTATGTATCGAAAATAGAACATATTTTCACGTCAATTATAAATACCAACTAATTTAAAAAGGAAAATTTATCGAAAATAGAACATACTACCACGCTAATATAAATACCCACTAATTTAAAAAGAAAATTTTTAATAATTATTTTTGTAAATCGAAAATTTGATCAAACAATCGGCCGAGTCAAGTTGATATTGGCAAACACCAAGAAACTTATTGCTCTAATTACTTTCTTAAGTGTAGTGATGTTCTGTGCATCGACAGGATAAACCTGAGAAAACTATTATAAATACTTCTCTTTTATATATTCGTCCAATCTATACACATAACCTAAAAATTATTAGAAAATAAATACTCAACCTTATAAAAATAAAATAAATTATAGAAGAATTCTTATACCAAGTTTCGTCCGACTATGAAGAGGTTTATGGTGATTTTATCCAAGAACCTAGTGCTGATATTGAACAAGCGAAGATAGATAATGAAATTCTCAAGTTTGATTTGCATTCATCAGAAAAATTGCGAAAAGCAGTTAAATTATTTGATGAATCAGATAATAAATTCACTGAGAACGAATTTGAATTTCTTGAAAGTGATAACAATACCGAAATATTTGAAGAATCTGTTTCTTCTGCCTCTAAAGATAATTCCACATTAACACGTTGTGTTGTTATTGACAATGACAATGATCAAAAGATAAACCGAAGGTGCAAAAACTCGGGTATTCACAGTCTAAGCTAATTAGCTGATATATGGGAAATTGATTCTTAAGCCGTACAAGAAGCTGGAAATGAAACTTCGAAGTTAAAAATTTGTAGTTGTCATCATAACTATGACCAAAAAACAGTACATAAATTAGATTCGAAAAGCAGTAGTAGGAGCTTTTTAGGAGTTCTGGGACACTTTTTGTTACTGATATCAATCTTGCATATAATTTTGCTTTTGCATCGTCAAATTAATAAAAATTATCTAGAACGCATTTATTTACCCAAATTTATATTAAAAAGGATATCTTTTTTTATAG